GCACGCCACTGCCACTGACCGCGCTCCATCGCTATTCTTTGGAGCGCTGCAAAATCCAAAATAAAATTCACCCCCGACCATAACTAAGTGGCAGCTGAAGCGGCCAATGATTAGCACTGGAGCGTGGTCAGTCGTAATCGCGCGACTGAACTGCTCAAATCTCGAACTATGAACGCAGCCTAAATAATAGAATACGGACATACATACCTCATCAATTTTCTTCTTCATATTGCTCATCTGTTCATCTAAATCGCCCTTGTTCATTGGGTCTATTTCCAAATCATTTGATGGTTCGACCAAATGGGACATGTGATCGACCTGCTCGGATAAATCCACCAGCTGCGATTTCAAAGCAGACAATTCCTAAATTACTTGCTCTGTATAAAATTTGTCGATTTTCGTTAAAGGGGAGGGGACAATTAAAAGATTCCCTGAGCAAAACTGGAGTTACTGTAGCGGAAAATCTCCTCTTTACACGGAGAAGTTGGCCCACTCACCCCAGAGCTCTCCACCACTTCCTGGGCATAAATTTGCGTCTTCTCTACCTAGCATCGATTTTCTTCACCTTCTTCAGACGCCCTAGGCAAGGCTACAGCTCCCAAATTTTTTCTTTCAGGGGCACATTCCACACCGATCATAGTCGGAGTTTCTGCTATGCCTTACTCACTCGGACCCATCCTCTTTACTACATGAAAAAGGAAGGGTGCGCTAAAGAGGTCCGAAGCACAGTGGTAGGTCCGACTCCACTCATACGACTGTCGCGGACGGTGTCCTCAAAGGCAGGCAATGTGGCACGATGGCCGGGGGCGCGCGGTTGCTGCCACGGTCATTGGTGGAATGGTCGAATGGGATGTGGCCAAACGCCTCCACGCAGCCCTTCTACCAATGACGTTGACGGCAACCTTTCGCCTTCAGCCATCGTGGTCACTTTACAGCGTGAAAACTTTAAAAACTCAGACTACTAAATCCTTACACCAAGTCGAGCCTCAACTTCTGATGGCAGTAATGCTCCAAATTTTTCGATATCAGATTCCAGTACAGCAACATCATTCCTGAAACGGAAAATCAGCTCAGCGCTGAGAACGGCCCTTTTTTCAAAAACAACAAAAAAGAAAAACGACGGACATGACTGCTTTCTGCATGGATTTGATTTCAGATCCTAAATCCGAGGCTCGCTGAACGTTGCGCTCTTTGTCGGCGAGTTCTTTCTCAAATGACGCCAGTCCAGAACTCAACTCGTTCATCTGAAAAACCGA